AGCTCCGCCTCCCGGGTTCACGCCATTCTCCTGCCTCAGCCTCCTGAGTAGCTGGGACTACAGGCGCCCGCCACCGCGCCCGGCTAATTTTTTTTTTTCTATTTTTTGTAGAGACGGGGTTTCACCATGGTCTCGATCTCCTGACCTTGTGATCCGCCCGCCTCGGCCTCCCAAAGTGCTGGGATTACAGGCGTGAGCCACCGCGCCCGGCCTCTTGCCTCTTCTTAACTCTTCCCTTAAATGTCAGCATTCCCTAAGGTTCTGTCCTTTGCCTTCTAATTTTTTTTTTCTTTGGGAAACTCTTCTAATTCCATGGCTTAAGCCACCACTTTCAGGCAGATGGCTCTGAAAACTTTTTCTTCTGCTCTCTAGGGAGTTCTCAACAAAGAACAATCCTGCATTTGCAGCTTTGTGCAGGACAGTGTCACAGTCCAAGCCACTGGCATTGCCCAGCTCATGCCACCATAATCTTTCATCTTGATTATTGAAAAAACCTTCTGACTGGTTTCCCTGTCTCCAGCCTTGCTCCCACCCAAATCAATTTTGCCTCCACACCATAGCAAACGTGATCTTTCTAAACTGCTTGTTATCATGCTAACCCTCTTCTTAAAACTCTTCCCTAGCTCACTGTTGTTCCTTAATTAAAACCCAAGCTCTTAACAGAAACTGACACTCTCTGCATAGCCTGGCCTGTTTTTCCCTCTAGACTTGCCAACAACCGCTTCCCATCTTACATATATAGCGCACTTCCTGCTCTATAACCCATGTTGTCTCCTGACTCTAAGCTACCACACATGTTCTTCTGAACATGCTCTTTTCCTGTCCTGACTTTCACTCATCCCTCAGGCCCCAGCTCCTTAGGAGCTTTCCTAGATTTCCAAGTCTGAGTCAGGTGCTCTTACTGAGAGGTGACAACACGCTGGCGGCCCTCACTCGCTCTCAGCGCCTCCTCGGCCTTGGCGCCCAGTCTGGCCACCACTGAGGAGCCTTTCAGCCAGCTGCTGCACTGTGGGAGCCACTCTCTGGGCTGGCCCAGGCCGGAGACGGCTCCCTCTGCTTGCAGGTAGCTGTGGAGAGAGAGGCGCGGGTGCGAACGGGGCTATGCGCTGCACTGGCAGGCCAGAGTGAGTTCTGGGTGGGCGTGGTTTCAGCGTGCCCCGCACTCGGAGCGGCCGGCCGCCGCCGCTGGCACCAGGCAGTGAGGGGCTTAGCACCCAGGCCAGCAGCTGCGGAGGGTGCCCTGGGTCCCCTGGCAATGCCGGCTCCTAGCAGGGCAGAGCTCACGACCTGCAGGCCGCCATGCCCGAGTCTCCCCACTCCGTGGGCTCCTGCCCAGTCAGAGCCTGCTGAAGGAGACCCGCCCCCTGCTCCAGGGCGCCAGGTCCCATGAACTGCCCAAGGGCTGAGGAGTGTGGGCGCACAGCACGGGACTGGCAGGCAGGTCTGCCTGCAACACTGGTGCAGGACCCACTAGGTGAAGCCAGCTGGGCTCCTGGGTCTAGTGGGGACTTGGAGAACCTTTATGTCTAGCGAAGGGATTGTAAATACACTAATCAGCACTCTGTGTCTAGCTCAAGGTTTGTAAACACACGGATCAGTGCTCTGTGTCTAGTTAATCTGGGGAAGACGTGGAGAACTTTTATGTTAGCTAGAGGATTGTAAATGCACCAATCAGCACTCTGTCTAGCTCAAAGTTTGTAAAGGCACCAATCAGTGCTCTGTGTCTAGTTAATCTGGTAAGGACTTGGAGGAATTTTGTATCTAGCTAGAGGATTGTAAATGCACCAATCAGCACTCTATGTCTAGCTCAGGGATTGTAAATGCACCAATCAGCACACTGTCAAAACGGACCCATCAGCTCTCTGTAAAATGGACCAATCAGCTCTCTGTAAAGTGGACCAATCATCAGGATGCAGGTGGGGCCAGATAAGGGAATAAAAGCAGGCTGGGGTGTCTTTCCACACTGTGGAAGCTTTGTACTTTTGCTCCTTACAGTAAATCTTGCCGCTGCTCACTCTTTGTGTCCACGCCATCTTTATGAGCCTACCACCCACCGTGAAGGTCTGCAGCTTTACTCCTGAAGCCAGTGAGACCATGAACCTACCAGGAAGAATCAACAACTCCAGACGTGCAGTCTTTATTACCTGTAACACTCACCACGAAGGTCTGAAGCTTCACTCCTGAAGTCAGCGAGACCACAAACCCTCCAGAAGGAAGAAACTATGGACACATCTGAACATCTGAAGGAACAAATTCTGGACACACCATCCTTAAGAACTGTAACATTCACCGCGAGGGTCCACGACTTCATTCTTGAAGTCAGTGAGACCAAGAACCCACCAATTCCAGACACATTACTATGTGCTCTCTCACAGCACCCTCTACCCTTGTTATCACAGCCCCGTTTTACTCTCACCTTTAGCTTACTCACATTCTCCACTTGGCTGTGAAATATAGCATGGAATGTAAATACTACTATAGAATGAGAAGATTGAACATAAATAGGCACTCGGTAGCTGTTAGTGTCTTGTAAGGGTCTTAACAAGTGGTTAAACTTTGGTATGAGGTATGAGAAATCCACAGAAGGAATAGCATTAGCAAAGATGTGTCTAGAGATTGGAAAATGCAAGGCAAATATAGTAATTAAATCATGCAGATTGAAATATACACTCAGATAGGAAAATAATGGGAGCCAAGGCTTGAACAGCTAAGCCTTGAATGCCAGATTGAGACATTTGGTATTTTTTCCCAACATTTGCTGGACAGTAGATTTACCTGGGAAACTCTTATCAAAACACCAATACCTGGGCTCCACCTTCAGAGATACTGAATTATCCAAGAAAGAGACTCGGACAAAAGCATTAAAAAAAAGCTTTCTAGGCTGGAATTAAGAATCATGACTCTAGGAGGCAATGGAAATTTTGGAAGTTTCTGAGTATAATCTAGTATATATTAAATTTGTAATAAAAATGTGTCAAATGAATGTTGATGTTGCATATACCAGATATCTTTGTTACTGGTTTTCAGAAATTTTTCATGTTTTATAAAAATATATTTGTTCATTAAAAAAACACCACAATGACTTTATTCCCCTTTGTTACAGGTAATGTGTAAGAGCCCACAAAAGTCACTTAATTTTCTCATGCTTTAAATTTTATTTTTCCTTTCCTTGTGTGTAAACACAAGTGTTTTAAGCATAATTTGAACTGTTTTTTTCCAGAATGTACATCTTTATTTTTCCTGAATATTTCTAATGTCTAAATACCTTAAGTAAAATTTACTGCTTCTACGGATGGCCTAAAAGTTCTGGCAATGAAGGAAGTAAAGTGGGAATGTATTCTTAATACAAGCTATTCAGATGTCTTCATCAATTATTAGGTGAAGTCTTTCCAATTCTATCCTAAACTGTAGAAACTCTTCCAGTTAAACAACAGGGCGTGATAAGAGTTTCATAACAGGCTGCCTCTAAGAAGTAATTTCATTGTACCAAACTCATTTTCACTTTTAATAATCTTGATCCTATATCACTAATAGAGGCTTTAAAAATCAATTTATATATTTACTAGACACTATGAGGTTCATGATGCTCTTACTTTTTACAAATAATAAATATGTATATACATTTTTTACAAATAATAAATGCATAAATAAACATTGTTCCTTCTATTATATGTATGTACACATTTTAAAAAATAATAAATTACTTTTTACACATTGTTTGAAAAAAATGTGGTAATGTCAGAATTCCTCACTGTTAACAATTATTTCTAAGAAAGTCTAAAGTTTTTATTCTAGGACTTGAAGGGGAAGTTAGCCGTATTTATATACTACTTTTCTCAAACTTAGCTCTCAACTTAATATGCTGTATTTGACAGGCAGACACAAGTATTATATCATGGTAAAACAATAGTGGTGCAATTGTTTCTTAGATTGAAAGAGATGCAGTCATTGCACTATTGCAAGAGTAAAGGAAAAAAAAGAATTGTCATTATCCAATGAATTAATAGAGTTCTAATCCCACTTGAAGAAGAATTTTGTTTTTCTGAGGAATTCCAGTATTTATGCTTCTGTGAAGCGTTTTCTAATATTGACCCTTTAGTTAGGGGCCAGGAAATATTTTTTTCTAAGTGAGAAGGAAATTGGTTATAAGCAAATGAATTTGGGGAAATGGTAAGATTTAAAACTCCCATGTTTTCATCAGATACCACATTTTTCTGGAGTTCTAGCTATCCTTTGTTCTTATATTTCCAAAACATCTAGTAAATTTAAAAAATGCAGTGGGAGACTTTAAGCCCACAGCCCAGCCCTTGATAAATAATCAAACAACAATCGAGTATTTATGCTTGCCCTGCAACAGAAAGGTTAAAGTTCATTGAAAAATCCTCTAATTTAAGAACTGTAGTTGTTCCATACAATCATAAATAAAAGAAGTAATTATAAACTTTGGGGGGAAAAGGACTAAAAATATTTTTGAGAAAAATATGGCTTTCTAATCTAATTGAAAGTAAGGGAAATTTTTTGTGCCTTGTAGTGTATGATTATATATAGTTGTGTGTAACTGGTGAATGATGTCTAAAGAGGTTGCTCAAGGTTACAGGAAAAACCCTAAGGAATTCTTGCAGCAACATCCTGAAATAAGAGCTCCTGCATAATAGATTCACTGTGGTTTCCTTAGTGAAGCGAGCCTTCTATGAACACACAATCTTTAACTATACAGGATCAGGAGAATTGAGTCATGCATTGGAATGCTTTTAGCTTTGGTTTACCCATCTATTTAAAGAAAAGAGTTATGAGATTTGCTTAATTTGATCATTTTCCTCTTTCCTTTGGTAATCTCCCTCCTGTATTATAAGATATATAATGCTTCCTTCACACTTCAAATGAAAGTTGAAATGAATTTTTCATGCGTACTATGTTGTAGATGCAAGGTCAAAAATTTACTTCAGGGATCTGAATGTGTAGCATATACAACTGAGTGTTGAAAGAAGACAAAATCTTTTTCATCACAAAGAATATGTGCTCATTAAGAATCAGAATGTTCAATTGTGTGAAGATGGGAAATGGGGAGATTGGTATTATGGCCTTGGATCCAGAAATCAGGTATTTACCCAAAATTTTCTCTGTAGTTTTCACCTATCATCTATTCATTTAATCTGTTTACCATAATTTTTTAAGTTTAATTAAGAGTCAGTTGTCTTTTCATGTTTCTAGATAACAGCCTTGACATTTTAAAGGGAGACATTTTTCTCATATTAGGTTCTAGACACTGTGTATGACAGTGGAACTCCTAGTGGGATTTTCTTGAGTTCATAAGCACCTATTAAAGATGCTTATAATAAAAGAATAAAAGATAAAAAATCAAAGAAATGTTTGAAGAGGTATTCTGGGGCTTGATCTATTGGTTATTAAAAATGTAACACAGGGCTACATTAACAAGGCAGAGTGGTTTAGATTCAAGAACGAAAAGGCAGATTCAAGAAATAGGAAAAAAAAAACTAGAAACAAATCCTAATTATGATAAGTATTTTCTATATGACAACAGTACCACTGCAAATAACAATAAGCAAACAAACAAAACTCCAATAAACCAAATGAAATCATTAAATAAAAATACAATTGAAAAATCAAAAAAGTTACAAAGATATATAATGAATGGTGCTGTAACAGTGGATTAAATCAACTATGTTCAAATATTATAACCAAACACATTTCAGGTAAATTAAAAATGTCAAAAAAATAAAATGATAATTTATATAAATAATAATATAATTCCAGATTTCAGAAAAAGAACAAGTAATCACTAAAGAAGAAAAAAGTCAATATAAAAAGCCCAAACTGTGATACATTAAATCCTTTCATAAGCAAAATTAAGGGATCAGCAATAAACTCAAAAAGTATTTTCAGAAAAATGACAAAGGGTTATGTCATTAAATAGAGCTCATGCCAACCAGTAAGTTTGCCAATAGGAAAAAGGTCCAAGTGCCTGTAAATAAGAGCTCACAGATGAGGCAAATATATGTCACTAATAAATATAATAAAACATGTTACCAACTTAAAATGAGATATCACTTTGTCTCCTGGATTAGTGGGGACAAACGGAGGTACAACACATCCTCCATCCCACCTGCCAGCCCAACCCTATACTAGAGGGGTTTGCTCACCCAATCTCCCTTCTGAGACCGTAGTCTGAGAATAATAGAAAGAAAAAAAGATGAAAAATCGAAGAAATGCTTGGAGAGGTATTCTGGGGGGGCTTGCTTTACTGGTTATTAAAAATGTAATACAGAGCTACAATAACCAGCTACTCTTCAAGTATAGGGAAGAGACAGAGAACAAGTATCATGTTATAAGAGCAGGTTAATTGCTGTGTTAATATTTTGCTGTGAGCCTAGGTCTGGAGGAACTGTTTTTCTTGATTCCCTCATATTTTGCAGGATTGCAATGCTACTGGAGATCCCTCTTTGACCCCAGGGCTAGGATGGAGAGAAAAAAATAAAACTGAGATAGTGTGAAAGGGAGGATGACTCTCTAATGTCTGTCTGAAATAGCTTCATTTCAGTTGAGTCATTTAGAAGGAAATAGTTGCTCATTTAGAAGGAAAGTAAAGAGGTGTTTTGTATCATGCTATGAGATACATGTGTATGTCAGGTTGTCTAATCTGAAGATATTCTTTTGAGCAGTGGACTAGTAGGACATAAGGGATGGTTAAGGGGTTGGGTATATTAGCAGAACTTGTCCAAAATAGTAATGCAGGATGTAAATCAGAGAATATTGAGATAGTCACTCTAATTCTGACACTGATAACAGTTTTAACTGATACAAGCTTTCTATAAACCATTTGAAGTACCAAGAGTCTTACATTTTAAAAAATATCTTCTTTGACCCCCTAACTACATTTCTTAGCATTACTCATTGACCAAACTTTTGAAAAACACCACTTTGTGACAGGCAAAGGAGATGATAGATACAGCAATTAACAAGGCAGGCCAGGTACTTGTTCTTATAGTACTTTAACTCTAGTGGGGCCAGGAGAGAACAGACAATAGCCATGTACATAAACAAATAAGTAAGATATTATAGAAAGTGATACATACAGTGAAGAAAATAAATTGGAGTAATATGTTAAAGAGTGACCAGGGAATGTCAGGGAAATTCTCTTTGAAGAGGTGATGTATTAGTGACGGTTCTCCAGAAAAACAACCAGTAGGATGTGTATACATCTCTCTAGATGGATAGACAGATAGATACATAGATGGATAGATAGTTACACACTTAAGTACATACATATACGTATGTGTAGAGAGAGAGAAACAGAGACAGAAAAAGGTTTATTTTAAGAAATTACTCTGGTGGCAGGCGCCTGTAGTCCCAGCTACTCAGAAGGCTGAAGCAAGAGAATGGTATGAACCCAGGAGATGGTGCTTGCAGTGAGCCGAGATCCTACCACTGCACTCCAGCCTGGGCGACAGAGAGAGACTCCATCTCAGAAAAAAAAAAGAAAAAAAATAAAAAAAAAGAAATTGACTCACATGATTGTGGGAGCAGGAAAGTCTGAAATCTGCAGGGCAGACCAGACCAGGAGGGTGGAAACCCAAGGAAGGAGTGATGTTGCACTACTGCATCTGAAATCAGTCTGCAGGCAGAATTTCTTCTTTTTTTTTTTTTTTTTTTTTTTTTGAGACGGAGTGTCGCACTGTCGCCCAGGCTGGAGTGCAGTGGCGCGATCTCCACTCACTGCAAGCTCCACCTCCCGGGTTCATGCCATTCTCCTGCCTCAGCCTTCCATGTAGCTGGGACTACAGGCGCCCGCCACTACACCTGCCAAATTTTGTATTTTTAGTAGAGACAGGGTTTCACCGTGTTAGCCAGGATAGTCTCGATCTCCTGACCTCGTGATCCACCCGTCTCGGCCTCCCAAAGTGCTGGGATTACAGGTGTGAAGAATTTCTTCTTCTTCAGGGACCTCAGTCTTTTCTGTTAAGGTCTTCAACTGTTGGATGAGGCTCACTCACATTATGGAGGATGAGATGCTTTACTCAATGTCTACTGACTAATCACATCTAAAATTTATCTTCACAGTCACGAAGACCAAGCAAGTTGGTCTTGCTCTTATTTGACCAAGCAAGTGAGCACTGTAGCCTACCCAAGTTGACTCATCAAATTAATTACTACAGGTGATATTTCAGCTGATAATCGAATAATAATATGTAACCAGCCACGTGTGGTTCTGGTGGAAGAGATGCAAAGGCTCTAAAGCAGAAGAGTGTGCACTGGGAGCAAAAAGACCCAGTGTGCTGGGTCCCAGTGATGTGCTGTGGCCTGTTCATACTGCCTCTAAAGACCCTCCCAAAAATCAATGAATCCAGGAGCTGGTTTTTTGAAAAGATCAACAAAATTGATAGACTGCTAGCAACACTAATAAAGAAGAAAAGAGAGAAGAATCAAATAGACGCAATAAAAAATTATAAAGGGAATATCACCACCGACCCCACAGAAATACAAACTACCATCAGAGAATACTATAAACACCTCTACACAAATAAACTAGAAAACATAGAAGAAATGGATAAATTCCTGGACACTTACACTCGCCCAAGCCTAAACCAGGAAGAAGTTGAATCCCTGAATAGACCAATAGCAGGCTCTGAAATTGAGGCAATAATTAATAGCCTACCAACCAAAAAAATCCAGGACCAGACAGATTCACAGCCGAATTCTACCAGAGGTATAAGGAGGAGTTGGTACCATTCCTTCTGAAACTATTCCAATCAATAGAAAAAGAGGGAATCCTCCCTAACTCATTTTATGAGGCCAACATCATCCTGATACCAAAGCCTGACAGAGATATAACAAATAAAGAGAATTTTGGACCAATATCCTTGCTGAAAATTCTCATACTTCCTCTAAGAGCTGATTACAAACATCTCTTTTCAATTCCATGGTCAGTGACAACACACTGGTAGCTTGAAATCAGTAAGTATTTATACCAGAGGAGTATGTACACCAGAGTAATCAGCAAATGCTACAAACCAGGACTTTTATTACTCCCACTTTTTAAACATTTACCTGCAAAGTACTGATGGGAAGAGCTCAAGGGGGAGGCATGGGCTTTAGATGGCATGTCTATAAGCTTAGCTCTCAGTCTCAGTGTGATGACTGACATTTTCCAGTCATATTACATACAAGTCAAAATAATTCATATTGTAGTGTACTCTTGAACAGGTTTCATAGGGTGGCAGGATTGCAAGTAGAAAGGCTAATGAGATTACTGAAGCAGTCTAGAGACGAGATGATGGAGACTACATGAGAGTATGGCAGGCACCAGGAGATATTAAAAGCTTTGAAGGGCACATTTTGAATGGGGTGCTTATAGCTCTTGGATAGAGGAAGCTGCAAGGAGAGAAATTAAGAATGACTCATGGATTATTGACCTAAGCAACTGGGCCTACCCATGTTGGGGTTCTTTTATGACATGGGAACACTTGGGAGGGAGAGTTTCAACAGGGAAATGTGGCAGGGGGAGTCAGTTGTTGCTTTGACCTGATTGACTTTGAGATGCCTGCTAGATTTTGAAATGCCTGAAGCCATTAAGGAAGAAGTTTTATATGTGAGCTTATATTTGGAACTCAGTGGAAAGGTCAGGACTGGAGATGTAAATCTGGGAATCATCTCTATACAAAGACTAACTTTCCTAAGGAAATAGTCAGAAATTCAGACAGACTAATAGGTTAAAATAAAAGAAGGACACAGAAAAGTATATGCTATATGGCTGAATAAGGAAGATATATTGAAACAATTAGTCAATAAGCCATAATTCCACTTGCTGTAGCTAGTGTAATTATGAGTAATTTAAACGTTTTGTCCTTTAGATATTCACCACAACAAATAAGTTATTCTTAAAATTAGAAGAAAACAATCTTATTTTTAAAGAAATATAAAAACATTAAATTTGTTAATGATAACATTGAAATAGCGAAGTAGCTAAAAATTTTATTTGGCCGCTGGTTAAACTGTTTCTTTGACTTAAAGAGCTTACAGTTATGTAAGCACACTATTTTTTACTTGTCTTTCCCATTATTAAAATAATACATGTATGTTACAGATAAATTTGAAAAGATAAAAGAATAAAGAGAAATAATTTTTACGTATTATTGAATATTTAGTTTTCTTGATCCAATTTTATCTACTTTTTTGTGATATGCTCCTATCGTTTTATATCTTATTTACATCTTATATCTTTTTATATCTTATAGAAGCTATGTTATTAATCCCTTAAAAGTGCATTTTTATAAGAGGTTAAAAAAGGTTCACGACTTCACATGGTTTTACATCTTGTGATAGTGTTCTGTAATGTTTAGCCTCTATGATACTGCTGCAGTCTAGTGTTTCACTGGAATTTTTCATTTTCACTTCAGTGCCATAAAACTGCAACCTCAAATTTATTGCAATATTTACATATATGACAGCTGTTAAAACTACAGTAGTTGAAACACACTTAGGGAATAGTTACTGAGGCAAATGTGTGTATGCGCACACACACACACACACACACTTTCATGTAAGTTATTTATTGTAACGTTGAACTTTTATTCCCTCTTGGTGAATAAAAAAAGGACATAAGTGTTGATATTTATGTTATAACATTACCTACTTCCCTTACTTCATTGATGAATTTCTTTATTCATATCAATACTTACTGAAAAGTTTATAAAGAACCTACTATGTGCCAAGCAGTGAGCAAAACACAGCATAGTTGGGGAGACGGACACATAAATGGAAAAACAGTATTGCCATATGGTGAGAACTGTTGAAAGGGTATAATCAACATACTTTGGAATCACACAGGGGAATGGGAGAAGGTGACCCTTGAGCTGGGTGTTAGAGGATGAATGAGCATTTACCAGGCAGAAGAAATAGCATTTGCACCTGCATGGAGCCATGAAAGGAGAAAGAATGATTGAGGCAGGAAATAAAGTTCAAAAATGAGGTTTGGACCAGCTTGTGATGGGTCTTGTGTGCCAAGCTAAGGAATTTGGATTACGTATTGCAGGTCATGGAAGTTAACAGAGGTTGCTTTGCATTGGAGACTGTCAGAATCAGTTTGGGCTAGAAAGAACATTCTGCAGCAATGTGAGGAAAGATTAGATTGGAAAGAAAACTGGTAATAGGAGCACTAGGGATAGGTGAGTTCAGTGCAAAAGATAAGGAAGGCTGAAAGCTTTGGCAGTCTCTGAGGATGGGAAGAAAGAAGACAATTTGGCAAAAATGACAATGTTTAATGAAATGATTAAAGCAAGAACAGGATGAAGAAGAAAGAAGATAGGGAATATATTTTTTAAAAGAAGGTTGGGTGTGAAAATTAGAGAGTCTGGAAAGTAATTTGAAGAAGGATTAGAATCAAACAATTTTTTAAAGGGTAAGTAAAATTTGAGGTTGGTCTAAATTGAGACCAATGTGTTTGAAATAATGTTTTAATATTTCCTGGGTTGAGATAGGAGATAAAAAAAAAAAAAGGGCTAATAAGAGGTCTACTTTCATCTAGACTACGTAGGTGCTCAGAAAGAAAGAGAAATGAGAATTTACTTAGTTTTTTATTTTTAATTTTTTGGGCACATAGCAGGTGTATATATTTATGGGATACATGAAATGTTTTGACACAGGCATGCAATGTGAAGTAAGGAAATCTTGGAGATGCGGTATTCATCTCCTCAAGCATTTATCCTTTGAGTTACAAACATTTCAAGTACACTTTTAAAGTTATTTTAAAATGTACAATACCGTTATTATTGACTAAAATCACCCTGTTGTGCTACCAACTAGTAGGTTTTATTCACGCTTTCTAAGTGTTTTTGGTACCCATTAACCATTCCCACCTCTCCCCTAGTCCTCCACTACGTAAATGGGAATTAAAAGATGATCAGAAGACAGTTGGGAGCAGAGTGAGAATAAGAACCTTCAACTGCCGTCTCACCTTTCAGATCACGAAGAAGTTTTTCACAATGAGCAGAACACTCAACCTGAAAGCGGAATGGATTGAGTCACTGCAGCGTGGCAGTGGAATGGTGCTTGATGTTGGCAAAGGAAACATGTACTTCTAGACTTGACACTTTTCCCTTAGTTTACAGTTTCCAAATAGAAACATCACTTTAAAATAACATGGAGAATATACATGGATGTACTGAACGAAGGATAAAGTATGTGTTGCAGTCCTGGCCCCATCGACTTCTACAAATATGGCTTTGGACAAATCACCTAACTTTTACTTTTGAGAATTTAAACTCATCATGTATAAAATGGCATTGCTAATATGTTTGCTGCCTACCCCATTGGGTTTTGTGAGGAATAAATGATAATGCTAAGAAAAATGCATTGAGAATTATAAATCACTATTCAAATGCAAGTTATTTATGTGATTATTGTCATTATTATTAATACTTTCACTCAGCTAAAACCTTAGAACCAAAAAAAATCTGAGAACTTGCTTACTATTAATAACTGTCTTATTTGATTTAGGGACTCAAGAAAGTATCAGCTCACATGACTGAGTCTCATCAATTCCAAGTTGTGCATTGAGAATCACAATAGAGACCGGGAATATGAGACTTTAGGCATAATTCTTGTTCATCACCATCTGGCTATTTCTACTTCTCCAGTCCTAACTTCTAACCTGATCTTAGTCAGCAGGGCTAAATTGCAAAGTAGAAAATTTCAAGGAAGCCTTCTTCGGGTTCCATACTCTGCTTTTATGCCTTCTACACAAAGAAAGGGAAACAGAAAAAAAAAAGAGTGGACCTCACATTCATACACAACTTCCTCCCAACAATTTCCTTAGTAGAGCCTGGGAGGTCCTACTTGAACCAACCCTGCTCCCTCCGCTGGCTCTGTGCCGCCTGATGACCTCCATACCATGCTCCCTTGTATCTCAATACTGCTCACAGGTCACCTCATCAGAGACACCTTCCCTGATTACAGCATATGAAATTACAAAACAAGCCTGATCTCATTCCATCGTCCTTGCTCTGCTTCACAAACCTCAATCACCAGCAGATGTAGAATATACTTATCTGTTTCTTATCTGTCCCTGCTCCCATCCGTGTAAGCACCGCAAGAATCAGACTTGGTTTACCATTGTAACCCCTGAGTCTGCCACATGGAAAGCATTCAATAAATCATTGTTGAACAAAGGAATGAATGCATCTGTGAATGGAGATATAAATATATATATATATATATATATTTTTTTTTTTTTTTGAGACGGAGTCTCGCTCTGCCGCCCAGGCTGGAGTACAGTGGCCGGATCTCAGCTCACTGCAAGCTCCGCCTCCCGGGTTCACGCCATTCTCCTGCCTCAGCCTCCTGAGTAGCTGGGACTACAGGCGTCCGCCACCTCGCCCGGCTAGTTTTTTTTGTATTTTTTAGTAGAGACGGGTTTCACCGTGTTAGCCAGGATGGTCTCGATCTCCTGACCTCATGATCCGCCCGTCTCAGCCTCCCAAAGTGCTGAGATTACAGGCTTGAGCCACCGCGTATGGATATATTAATTTAAAATGTCCTGGTTCTTAGAAGGATTTTCAAAATTTGAAAATATGAAGTGGTGTGAGGACTATTGCTCAAGGTTAAAAGAAAGGAAAAAGAATGCATCATTCAGGCAATTGATGGACTTTGAAGTAAGAAAGCAGGAAGAGCAGGGCAGGGCAAGTTTGGACAGCACAGCAGGTAAAATGACAGATTCTAATAGGGTGACCAACCCATTGTGGAGGATCTAGACATTTTCCAGCGATAGTACTAAAAATCCCTTATCCTATGCAACTCCTCAGTGCCAGGCAAACCAGAACTATTGGTTGCCCTAAAACTTAGAGTTAAATATTCCCCAAGGATTAGAATTCCTTATGCACATTTATTAGCAGTGAGACCTTGGGCAAGACAAACTGTCTCTGATTTTAGTTTATTATTTGTAATTGGGGCTAGAAATACCTGGTTCAAAGGTTTGTAGATATTTCTTTTAAAAGACTCTATATAAAACACTTAACACATTGCCTGGTATGAAATGTGTGCTGGATAAACAGCGAGGTAGTATTATTAAAGTGCTTGGTTGATAATTGGCACTCAATAAATGTCGGCTTAAAGAGTAAGGTGCATGCTAATTCCTGAGTGTTTTGTGTGACATGGATAATGCCTTTTAATAATAGAATTGCACTATTTCAAAAGGTGTAATAAAGAGTCTTCATGATGAAATTTTAATACTGCATTTGCCTTTCTGCTCTCAAAGTATTTATCATAATATCTTCATCTGGAAGAAAAGCATTTTTGTTTTTATAATGTTCATTATTATTTTTTTAAAAAACTGTGTAGTGCAGTAAAAAGCAAAAAGTAAGACTTTTATGAACATTTATAAAGTTTTATACATTCTAAAACATAACATAAATATATTTTACTTGCCAGTATCAATAATTTATTCAAAGTCTTTTAAATAAGGCTAGTATAGGCTGGAAATATCATATTTTAGGAAAGCATAATTCTTCTTATCAACAAAAACAAACGTTCCCACTAGTTTTATGAAATAAAAGCCTTTAAAATAGTCACTTGCGGTGGATTTGAAAAAACGTTCTCTTGTCTGTTTCTGTTAATGCCCTCATGAGTTTTACTAGTTGCAACTGAAATCACAAAAACCAGGGCTTGATGCTTAACTGGCAAGAAGCCAGGATAATGAAATTAATAACATATGCTGAAGAACCCATTTGTAACAATTTTTTCATTAAAAAAATGAGGCAGCTCAAAGCTACTGACAGGGCTTTCTCCCCCTTCCCCCAACCCTTTATTTTCTTTTGCCTGTAATATGTCTGTATGTTAAAGCTTATAGTTCTTAGTTACTCTCAATAATTCACATGACTCCAAGATTTAAGCTATCCTGTGGCTGATAGGAAGAAAGCTTATTTTGTTGTTGTTTTTGTAAGCCTTTTTTTTAGGTCGCTATATGATTCTCTGTCTTGTCAACCAGCAACACTCTGCAGTTCAGAGCCGAGCCCTGTGGTAGGGACACTTTTGAACACAAGGTCTCGGTTGCTTTGGCTGATCTCACCTGTCAGCAACCTGACATGGAACTCTTCTGCATGTAACTCTTGAATCACAAAGGCCATGCGCAAAGGTATGCGCATCTGCTTTAGAAAAGAACCCTCTGAAGCCCTCTCTTAGAACTTCTTCACCTTCACTTTATGTACATCTCTAGCAAGACTGGTAACCTCATTTGCAAATGTAATAAATTATGGACAACACATTAGAAGGAAAGAAGCAAGCAACTGAAAGCAGCAAAAAGAACAACCGAGAGTTAAGCAGGAGTTGGAGAAATGCTGAAATCAGGCATAGGAAAAAATACAGCTCTCTCTGTCATCACTGGGTGAAGAACCTTTATAGACTCTACAGTTTTAGGGGGCATCACAGGATTTCAGCAAGTGTGAGGCTCTAAATCACTGGTGTGTCATGATAGGTGTTCATATAGATAAGCATGAGTCATAAGGAAAGGCCAAGTGCCATATTCACTGTTGAAGAACATGGACAAGATTGTCATGCATTTCTTCATAGTTGTTCAAATAAAGGATAGGTGGATAGATAGATGGATAGCTAAATCTACAGCAACTCATATATTATAAATGTGTTTGTGTGATTGTGCACAGAAGTGCATCATTATCAGAGTGTTCAGGTTACACACCAATAATGGATCTCTTTGAGCAGTGGGCTAGAGGAAAAACAGAAAAGAAGGTCTCTACTTCATATAGTTCTGTTTTGTTGAACTTTTCAAAATGAGCATGTTTATTTTCTAACAATAAAAATATTTAAATATGTTCAAGGAAGACTAAATCACAGGTGCGTTCTTACCCATGTACACTTTATCAGTCAGCCCATAAGCCAACAAGATCTTGAGGCACAGGGTCAATATTCATTCTTCCTACTACACATATATTGAACCTTTGCACTGTACTATACCCCTGCAGGATATCCCTGTTTTATATGCAGAAAGGATAAATCAGATCTCATTCTTTCTCTCAACAAACTAAAAATGAGTAAGAAGCTGAGAGGATAATAAAATGTGATGGGAGCAATGTGGAGAAGTGGGAGGTGAGGGAGAAAGACTTAGAACACGTGACCTTGAAACCCAGACAGGACAGGGTGCAGCCAAGGGGGTGCCGGGAAGCCAGTGGGAGGAAGCAAGGCAAGGGAGCCTCAGAGAATGACGAAAAAGGGCCTGAAGGGCCTTGCCAAAGCCGTGATGGGAAGAGACTGAAGATGAACTGCAGTGATATTAGAATGTCAGAGACGTCAGAGTCATCCCCAAGGTGGGACCTTGCTTGGGGGCCTAGTTTATTCCATTTAGGATAGATTTAATGAACTCAGATGCTGCAAAAAGCCTTCCATTGTGTATCTCTGTGTTTGTCTCTACCCCTACCCACTCCTCTTCTTTGTGGCCCAACTCTGTCTGCAATTTCAAGACACTGGAGCCCTTGAAGACAACACCAAACTAATGCAAGGTACAGACACATTTAACAACTGCTCTTTTAATAAATAACTTCTTTAGAAAACATTGTAATTTGTAAAGGGTCTACTTTGTAAACTCCACCAAGAACCTTGCATATAGAACACTAAGTATTGGTCTCTTCATCATAAGCTATTCTTTGTCTTTTGAATTCAGGAATAAGCAATGACAAAATTCTGGTAAAGACTCTTTCTAATCAAAGAAGAAAGACAGCATTTGGTTTAAGGGTCTTAATGTGTGTGTCACTCTATTTCAAAGATATAAAGGACAGCAATAAACTGGTATCAAAGGCATGCCATCTTCCCGAAGATTCTTCCTACACTCCACTGACTTATATGCGTTTATATAACTGTATTGGGTGGGTGGAGGTGGAGGGAGAAGTGATATTTGGTTGGAGGTTGTCATAATATTGGGTAGTTGACCTGGTCATTATCTCTAATTCAGAGAGGAACATGATGCATTTGAGCTCTGCAGCACAAATTAAAAACAGCATTTCGTAAGTGCTGTTCACTACAGTGACAAAAGACTACACATTACATTAAAAAGTTCTTTTGGAGGACGTATGAAAGCTTTACTGAGAACACATGGCTGATTTCAGCAAA